TATATATATATATATATATGCACACACATATAAAAATATATACATATATACTGTATATATGTAGACATATTTATATATGTATGTATACATATATGTGTGAAAATATATACACACGCTATCTCTCCCACACACAGACACAAATGTCCATTTCTAATGTATACTATGGTTTACACACAATATCAATTTCCACCACAGACACTGCTGACCGTCTGCTGCCAGGATTATTCAGGTCTTTCGTTGTTGCTGTGTTTTTCTCCCCGCCCACTCTGTCGCTCTTTCTCCGCGTTGTCCTCCTCCTCTTCTGCTAAAAGACGTAAAGGAGTCAAACTCTCACATTTCCCTGCCTGTCATTTCCATTTCTAATCCTCCAAGACTCTCCAAGTCTGGCTCACACTCCCTGAACACTGAGCCACGTACTGTCCCGTACGGCAGATCTGCTATTTTCATTTGACAAGAAACATAAAATAACAAACCACTGTCATTTTCCCACTATGGGAAAATTAAAGAAAACAATTTAAATCACTTTGCCCGCATAAAACACCCACCCACCACTGGTACCACGTGGCTGTTCTTCTGTGATTCTGCTCGTCATTGGTCAAATAAAGAAAACCTTGTGGGTTTTGAGAGAAACACTCAAGTGGAATTATGTAAGGTGTTCCTTTGAGAAGAAACTAACAGCATCAAACATTATTTATCAACTTTCATCATTTAGACCAATGAAAGAAAAAACACATTAACCTTCAGTCGAATGGTGTGATTTCAAAGATTTACAGAAATGATACAGCAACTCTGGAGGTGCGACTTCTGCTTTTCCATTCCTCTGCAGCTGCTGTGCTGTTAAAGTTGTGGGTCTGTGTGTGTGTGTGTGTGTGTGTGGATTTGTATGTGCGAGGTGGGAAGACGAGTTTCGTGATTGACAAGTGTGAGTCTTAATGGCATTTCAAAGCCATCTGCTCCTTTTCAGATGTACTTAAACTTGCGATTAGATATTTATAAAGCAATTTATTGACCAATTACGTATACACACCCGCAGGCATAAGCATACACACATACTCAGAACAGTACACACTAGAAATACTGCAGCGGGCTCCGGTGTGCCTGTAGACTTTAGGGTCAAGCTATGACTTGGTGGTTAAGCTCCTGTTATCATGTTCCTGGAACCTGATAATGATTTCAGTGAAGCTAATCTATATCTGAAGTGTTTTTGTCCTTAGTGGCAGACAGAGGCAGACAGTGTCCATAAACATCACTCTGAGACACAGGATTCTATAAAGTGCAGGAACTAATGAATCAGTTTACACCGTTCACACTATTTGTTCCATTTTCCACACATTTCCCATGAGTCACTTTTGGTTCCAACCTTTTTTTTTTTTTACTATTATTACTAAACATAAAGACTCTTGCATTTGTCAGGTGACACCTGCACACATAAAGGGAGTAAAAAGTTTGATGGTGAGCTGCTTCTTAGTTCCAGATATTTTCTATTTTATAGCTTTAACTGTGAAAATTAATTCTGATTAAAAACATATTTAAGTCCAAATCAGATCTGTTATTTAAACACACAGAACAGCATAAGTAAATCAAATTAAGTGGTTTTAGGTTTTTATATACCTAAATAATTTACTTAATAATTTATTTTTAAACCCATGTAATCTGATTACTGAGATTACACAAAAACTACACTAAAGTCATCTAACTTTAAAACTAGTTTAACAATAATAGGGTAAGAATAAAAAAAGTTCATCTGTGACTTTGAGTTTAACAATAATAGGGTGAGAATAAAAAAAGTTCATCTGTGACTTTGAAAAGTGACTTTTTCAGAAATGCAAAAAGACAGAGAGAGCTTAACTGCCTGACACTAAAAAAAAGGCAGCGCACGGGAAGCTGAAGTTCTAACACAGACGACTGCGGTCCATTTTATTTAGAAATTCACTGTCCTCCGTCTCCAGCTCTCAACTCTGTTTCACCCTCTTTTGTCTCCTGCAAGTTTCCCTTTTTTGTGCAGAAATCCAGCCATTTCCCCCTCCCTCCTGTGGTGTGGGGAGATGGATGGATGGATGTTACAAACACTACAGACCTGTCACTCATTCATCTCTTGGGGAGGCAGGCTCATTGACTCAGTTGGGGGAAAGTGACTGAGCGGAATATTTGATTGGCAGAGCGCAGAGGAAGAGGAGACAGAGGCGTGGGATGCTTAGAAAGTGAAGCAGATGAGCAGGGAGGAGGAGGAAGAGGGGGAGAAGGGGGAGGCGGAGGAGGAGGAGGGAGCATAAACTGACTCCTGAAGAGATTCAAACACAGCGATTGGACACTGTCTTTTATTCTGACGGTTGCTGGGATGAAAACACACTGAGGAGACCGTGCAGATTCAATATCTTCAAAATGGACCTGGTGTGGATGAACTTCTTTGACGGGTGAAAAATACTTTTTTTCTGGGGGGGTTTATAATCAGAATAACTAAACAGAAAAGTCCAATGAGACACAGTGTTTAAGAGGAAAATTAAATAAAACTTTAGATGAAGGTGGAAATATTTGTATAGTGAAATAAAACAGCCAGTCGGGCTTTAAGTCCTAGAATTAGTGTTTTTGGATGTAAGACTCTCCAGTGTGTTTAGAAAACACCACTGAAGTTTTGAAGGGCAGGAAAAGTCATCCATGCAGAGTCACTCTGGGACCTTCCGTTCGAAGGGTCTGTTCACATGCTGAACTCACAGTCAATGATTTATTAGCAGCCAATAGGATTTTGGGTCAAAGATTGATTTCGGGTCATTACACTTTAATCACACACATTTGTTCTCTGGGGGAGCAAATGGAGCAAAGAAGTGAAATGATGAAGTAGGGCATAATTTTAGAAAATTGGAATGTGAGATTTTCTCCACAGCTTTGGCCCCGGACCGGTGTGTTGATGAGTATCGAGGGGTGGATCAGCTGTTTGCTCAGTATCACCAATGTTTTTTAAAGGGATGAGCCCTGAAAGCTGATAGACGGAGAACACTGTGCATAATGGTACTATGCTGCAAGGCTGAGTGGGGTGATTGCCAAATGCGTGAATGGCTCTGCTGATGTTATTGTCTAAACAAGCTAAAATGAGAGGGGACTGGGGGGGGGGGGGGGGGGGGGAGAAGTGAAGTGCGTTCGAGTGTTTGGTGAGATTTAGCCATTGTGTGGGAACAAAAAGGCTCAGAGAAGCACACATACGGGTGGTAGGTGAGACACAAGGGTGTAAAAATGTCTGAGTGTAAATTACATTTGGGATTACCAAGCAGGAGGTTAGCAGATGGGTTTGTTAGAGCTTAGACCAAAACAGAAGAGTACTGGAGAGACATTTATTTTTGTAGGGGCGTCCCACTGAGGCCCCTAATCCCAGTTTGGGTTCTATCAGGAGCAGCAACCGAAAGTGACATTTCTTATGACAGTGTTAGTGCAAGGAGGTTGAAACTGGAACCTACAGCAGCCCAGTGTTAAGTCTGACAGCCAATATTGATTTAGTCTCAGTGTGTTGACTTCAGATCAACTTAGTCGTAACTGATTCACCAGAAGTGTTTTTAATTTTATTTTAAATGTGGTCCAAAAGAAACATCAACGTAATCTTGGTGGACTAAATAAAAAGACATGTTTGTTGATTATTACCCTGTAATAACTGTGCAGCCCCTTAGACACCCTGCCCCCCACTTTGGGAGCCACTGCACCAAATGCAGTATTGAACTATAATTAGGATTTAATTAAAGTCAATATCAATATGGGAAAACTTAACGGGCTACATTGATTGTTGCGGTGCAGTTTTCCCACTCACAGGTGAAGATGTTTTACTCCCACCTGCGTCTCAGTGTATTCTACAACACACTGGAATCTAACACAATAAACATGTTATTTAATGTCACAATAAAATCTTTACCACAGAAATATTTTTTCAGTACATTGCCCAAGCCCGAGTTTATTATTTTATGTTTTTCTACAAATACGGTGATAAAATAACTAGAATTATTACAGACAAAAAACTGCCTTTCTGGGTTCAGGTTGCAGTTCAATATACCGTAGATCAGGGAGAAAAGAACAACCGCGGTGGAATCTGGCTGTGAAGCAGGCACTGAGTAATGCATCATGTTAATGTGTGGCCATCGCAGCCTGCTGTATAAATGTGCTGCATCTGTGACACTATGCAAATCTCTCCAAAGGTGCCAAAGAGGTGAACGCAAGTGGGAAAACATTTACAGTACGCAGCTCTCTGCAGCTGCACGTGGACAGGAATGATGATGGAGTGGCCTACACCTGTAAAGTGGACCATGTGGCGCTGGCGCAGACACCGCAGCAGGCCACAGAAGTGCTGGAGGTCCACTGTGAGTGTCTACTGTACTGTATATGTGGTCTCAGTAAAGAGAAAGAATAATCTCATGTTGAACTCCAGTAGATGACCATTGATTTAACCTTATTTTGTCTTTGTTATATGTTGACAGTTTTTTAGCTTAAGGAAGTATTCCTCCATCGTCCAATCATTCAGAATCTAATAACCTGCTGATTTTATCCATCTCTCAGACGCTCCTCGTGTGGAGATCGTCCATTCCCTGGCGGTTCCTCAGGAGGGTCTGTACCTAAAGCTGGAGTGTGTGTCGAAAGGAAACCCTTCGTAAGTCTCTCACCTTTGGTATTAGCTCAATTTTTCATGACTTTTGTACATGTCTACAGACAGAAAAATGAAGCCTGGTCTCTTTCTTTCCTCTCTCACGTGCTATTTCAACTTTAAGGCCTGATCCTGTGATGTGGACAAAAGACGGCGGTGAACTTCCTGACCTGGACAGGATGATCGTAGAAGGCAGGGAGCTCACCTTCACCTCTCTCAACAAGACAGACAATGGCACCTACCGCTGTGAAGCCACCAACCACCTAGGGACCAGCAGTGCTGAATATGTCCTCTACGTCTACGGTTAGTCCACCGAAAGGAACCTTTAATGTCAGAAATTGTGCATAATGTCACACAATAAGGTACCGATGACATGCAGCAGACAAACGTGGGCAAAAGAGCAAAAAAGTAATGAAAAGTTTACCAAATTTCATTAGAAAAAAAAATGTAAAAGTTATGGTGGTTGCTTCTCTCACAAGGAAAAGAAAACAGGCCTCAGGTGACACAAATACCACCAACGCCTTTCCTTAAATAAACCTGCGTCCCAGATCCTCCACAAACACACATACAGACACACACACACTGGGAGGGAAATGTGTGAGGGTGGCAGAATTTAGTGCTGTGTTGTCAGGAATATCACCGGGAAGGATAACTAATTCCGGGTAACGCCAGAGGAGGTGTGGGGATAAAGGGATTCGGTGTCAGGGGGAAACAGATAGCACTTCCTCTTGTCTCTTCCTTCACTGCCATTTGTCTCTCAGCATTAAGTAGTAATGCTTACAAAAGGCAGAGCCGTCATACGTCTCCTTTTTTTCTCGTTATGGGAACTTACATATTGTGTGATGAAGGGAGGGAAGAAAAAAAATCTTGACCAGAGAGACACGCTGAAATATTTCATCATTATTACGTACGCCTCAGGCTTTCTTCTCTATTCGCTTCCTTATTTTAAAAAAGAAACCTAATCTAATAAGGAACATGAGAGACTCTGAGGTGCAGACATGCTTTGTGAGCACTTAAGCCCCCCCACCTGCACCCCCACCCCCCACCACCATGTCATTAAACTGACTTAATGGGATTTGATTAAAAAGCAGTCGTTAGATGCGACCAAGGTTGGTGTCAGTATTCATGAGCCATTTTCTGCAGCAACAGCTCCGTATGAATCCTTCAATGATAGTCGATCAATAAATAAGCTTGAACTAAATGTGTACTTCTCCCTCGGCCATGGCCCCTCAAGTGGATTTGGACTTGTAGCAAATAAATATACAAACTAAGTCCTTTTTAATGTATACCTTAGAATGTATTAAATGTAATGTTTATTTTCAGATGGAAGTGAGGCGTGCCCTGTTAAAGGTTTATAACTTTACAGTAGCAACAAATAATAGTTTTCTAGGGTTTTTTAAATCACGTAATCACATCACACGTCTGTGGTGTAATATTTCAGCTCAGGATAAAAAAAATTCCAGTTCTTTAAAGAAACTTAAAGGCTTCGATTCCTTTGTTTTAATTTGCCCTGTGAAACTAACTAACATTTATTATGGAGCAAAATCAATGTTCTTAAATGTGGCAAAAAAGTTTAAAAAAAAAAGATTTTTGGAAACACATCAAGAGTTAAGTGGATGGAAAGTTGAATTACTTCATATACAGTGCAGGTCCTTCTGCGTAGGCTTGGTAAATGCATTCAAATTCTCTGTTGGATTAATTTGTCAAATTAATTATCCTGATGAAAACTTTAGTCTGACAGACACATATTATCAAAGCTGAAAAGTTCACCTGCAGATGCTGAAGTTTCAGGGTCTACAGTCAAAAGTTTATTTCCGATTTCCCCCGTTACCCACAAATCCCACTTTATTGATTAGGAGCTCTTTAATAATTCATTTAAATAGGCCCATTTGGTTTACTTCTGCATTAAACCTCAGCCGTTTGTATCAGAATATTTGTGTATTTGTTATACACCATGGTGTCTGTGTGCATGAGCTAAATACCAGTTAGATCCAGCATCAGAGAAAACCAATGCACAAAAGGACAGTAGTGTTAATAAACAGACAGGTTTTAAGCCACAAAAAAAAAGGCCGTGGAGTATAAGAGGGTCAAAGAGTCCCATTCAGATTCATTGCCTGTTCTTAGGAAATGGCACCCGGTCTGTTCCCAGCCTTCATTAGTGATTAGCACACCTTTTAGCCTTTTACAATGGCTGCCATAACTCTCGGAAAATACAGTTTTAATGGTTTGTCTCGAGACGTTTTTCTCCTTTCCAAAGACATTCACTTCCCCAGCACAGTGATTCACACTGAGCCTGAAATGTCAGGGCTACACAGGACAGTTGGCTCAGAAAATGACTACCTCAGCCAATTAAAAACCACTAGCTCACTATTAAAGCAGAGCGACATAAACATAAAAAGCCAAGATGGTAGTAGTATAACCTCATTAACTTTGCTGCAAAATGTTAGGGCCAAATTTTCCCTGTTGCTTTAACATATGATAATGAGAAACATCAGCGATCCTAACATTATTACTGTGGTAAGAGCAGTGATGACATGGATGTCAGGAGTTGCCCTTGTGAGCAATGACAAGTGTCAGATCATTTCTCAGAGAACCACTTGCTATCAAGTGGCGTGAGAGGTTCCCATTCAAGACCAATCCTCACTGCTAGCTAACGTCATGTTGGCCTCGGCCTGTGGCGTCTTAAGAGGCAACATCTTCTTGCAAACCTGAGAGTTGAACAAATGCTGGCAACACACTCTGTAAGTAATGATCATGAAGGTTGTGTTGCAGGGTCACATTTTTAGATGAATCCATGTTTTCAGGTTTTAGTTTAATTAGTATTAGCAGAAATTGCACCAAGGTTTTTGGAGGTTTATTTTGTATGTCCCTTCATAAATAATACAAAACTTTCCTTTTATTTTATTTTCCTCCATTTATTTTGCTTTTGTAAACTGACATTAATGTATGTTGTTTTCGACGTTCCAGAATGCTTTGCTTATGACGTTGTCATTTGTGTTGGCCTCAAGTCAATTCATATGTTGATGTTGCTGTTTGTTGTATCATTTTTTTGTGTTGTCTACGTGTGTCTATCCCCTCCACCAGACGCCCCCACCACCCCGCCACCATCCACCACTCACCCCCCACATCCCATACCTCCAGATCCTACTGCACTATTAGGCACCCACGCCTCAGACCACACAGTCACTGGCAACAGAGGTAAAGTATCAGCCCTCGCAGCTCCATGAACTCCTCAGCATGCTGCTCCTCTGTGTCTCCACTTTCTTCCTACTGTCTTATTTCATTTTTCATGACCAACAGCGGGAAGACAAGATGCTTTAATGTCCATTCATTTGCTTCAACAATGTTAACATCAAATGCATGCCTTTGGGAGGAAAACCAAATTTTGCAAAGCAGATGTTCATGTGTTAGTAACCTTAGGTTTTAGAATTCAAAAAGTGTCTGGCACTGCAAATACTCCGTCGTCTGTCCCTTGACATTTCAAACACTTCAGTATTTCTGTTGCATTACAAAAAACAAATGCCATGGTGGACCCAAAACGTCTGACCACAAGAGACGCCACATCACCGGTTCAATGTTGGTGTTGGAGGTTGTTGAAACGTTCTGTAGGGTTCCTAGTGTTGAGCATTGGTTGTGGTCCCCAAGGTAAATCAACAGTATATCATCTACATATAAATGATATTTAAACCACCACTGCTAATGATCCCAAAATGCCAGCTGGAAAGCTTTTACTGGTTGCTCAACTTATCCAGCGAAGACTCACCGGGCAGAGCCAAACCTTGCAGGTGGGATTACATTAACCTCCTGCCACCTGAAGGTATTAGACTCCTTTAGAAGCAGCTGGAAACTATTGCTCTTAAAAAGGGGGTCTTTTGGCATCAGGTTGACCGTCACACACCTGTGAGGATTTACAGTAGCACTTACCGACTTATTTTTCACACTCTCTAAAGTATTTCTGCAGGAAAGAAACAATTGCTCTCAATGAATGTCATTTTTAATGTTATATAATTTATCGTGACCTTTTCCCACGTCATCCAGAGTGAGTTGGTGGGTTGGTTCTCAGCTTTTTATTTTTTGCTCAGACTGCTTATAAAATGACATTTTGTTCAGTTTATTCTACGGAAGTCTTAAACGACAAAACAGAGGATACATCAAATAGGACTTCCTTTCATTTTTTAGGTTGATTTGGCATTTACATCAAACCACTTGCATCTCAGTCTATAGTCTACGTCTGTTTAAATCTGATGACAGATTTGTGTCAATAATTATATTGTGTGCTGCTCAGTGAAGTCAGTCATGATCACAGCGTCATGATTCCTCATTTGGTTGATGTCTTTTTTTTTGGCAGCAGCTGAGTCTGGCTCTCTGACCTGACACTGTGCCTTTGCTGCGTGTCATCGCCTACACGCTCTCACCACTGCTCTGTCTTTCCTAATGAATACCCGAAAGCCAAAAAAATATATCTTTCTGTAACAACGAAGCAGAAAAAATAGCATTTGCATTTAAGCTTACTGTTGAACAAACGTGTCAAAATGCAACACTGGGGTCATGAGGTGAAAAACTGTTGAAATGTTAAAATATACATTTATTATTAAGATGTAAACGATTTTGACTTTTGCTTCAGTGAGGCTTTTCTTCCCATCTCATCTAGTAACAATGTCTGCCCTAAACACTGCTGCTTTTTATCAGTGGTAATTTCGACAGACAGTTTGGATTTAGTGTCAGACTTCTGTGTTCCACAATTTAGTTTAATTTAATTTGAGCTGATAAAATATTATAATTAATTGAATCTATTAAATTTATTTTAGTCCATTAAAATGCAAAGATATTGTCATTGTCATTTAGCACCACATAACTACCAATTTAGTATTGGTTCTGTTTTTGTCTTGGTCGTTGACTAAGTCTTTGAGGAAAATTACATTTTGCTGTCTCTATTCTACCACAGTCGAGGTTTCTCAGGTCTTGTGTCGTTTGAACATGTTTACAGAAGGTTTTTCATGGCATATGGACTGACTCGAAAGAGAGGGATCTGAGTGCAGGAGCGACACTTCCCTGTGACCAGTGTCTGTCTGCAAGGAGATAGAGATGGTCCAACCAGGAGTGCAGGATCTAAGAAGCTGTAGCTCAGGTGTTGTGCAGGAGAATTGGCAGGAGTTGAGTGAAGCGAAGTGGTGGTTCATCCAGTTTGCACCAACCACCCAGTCAGAGGCAGGCACTAAATGTGGGACGACAAACCACTAGAGAAAGAAGCAGGAGCTTCATATATGAAATACTTTGTGGCTCCATCTCTAAAGCCCAGAATCTGCTTACAGGAGAACCTGTGCAGAATTTTAAAAAAGTGTGTAGTGCACATCGCATTCTTCTCACACAACACACACCTGTGTCTGCTCCTCCCTGAGGTTTCCAACAATCATCCACAAATAACTCACAGAATACTGAATCAGAGGAAACATTTACAGCCTTTTGATAATAATAATTTAAAAGAAACATTTTATTTCATCTGAATACTTACTTCAGTACTTTCAATACTGAATACTAAATCTGTGTTTTCCCACACTGCTTTATTCTATGTTCCTACAGTGTATATCACTGATTCTTAACCTTGTCAAACCTTGAGTTTAGCGCCTCACAATGGTGGTAGGAAGCAGAAAAATCACTAATAATTCACACTAGAGCATTATTTTATTCCTGTAAAGTTGCGTTTTTGGACATTTTTAAACTGCAGGGTCAAACTGAAATGAAAAACAATTCCAGAATATGAATTCCTAACAACAGCCATACGTTTCAATTTCCACCCATCAGCACCTCGGACCTCTCATCTCTTACACAACCTTCTCAGACAACAGGCCTCCAGAAACTGTCTGATCTTCCACATCGGTTTGTCTCCATTCTTCTCTGACGTGTTTGTGTAGAGAGATCACAGGAATCTCTTATAGTATCTACAAGGAATCTTAAAAAAAAAAAAATCAGACTCCTTCACTGCGTCCACAGTCACAGGATACTACACTATCTGCTTTCATGTCTCTGCTTGATTTATTACCAGGTCTGTTCTCTTGGTGCGCTGGATGAAAGCAAACAACTGTGCAGCTGTAACAGCCCTGTGATGATACAGTACAGTAAATCATGTGCTGGAGAGATGTTGAGCATTAATTTATGTTCAGTGTCAGAAGCTTCTTTTTTATCTTTAAACAAACCCCATGAGGTTTGATAGTAAATGCTCAAGATCTAAAGGATGTCAGAGTTGTATGTATACACACTTGTCAGACGACTCCATGTTGTTTGGAATGAACTCACATCAATACAGATATTGTGCTTTTTTTCAAGCCCTAATTGGACGAGAAGAAATAATGTTCAAAGCAGTTCAGATCCCCAAGGGGTAAAAAAAGAAATCTTTAAAGAGCTAAATGCAGTATTAGGTGTTGTCCATTTAGCTATTTTTACCATCCCGAATATTTGCATAATATATGCCAATGTGCAAACCCAGCAAACAATCATCCTACAATAATCCAAGCCTCCGAGGGAGAGTAAGTATTTGCATGACAGGTGCAATTAAGCCCTGGAGCTGAAAAACCTCTGCCCACACACACGCATACTTGTACTTCTGAGTAGTTTAATGGTTTTAATATTCTGCGCCTTCAAAAAATGTTTTTGGAGCACATGAAGTGCGGGGGTATTTTATAGTCCACTTTCTCATTACATTTTTACTGGAAATTAACATAAATGCATCAAACGCACAGACTGAGCCCAGACATTAGGCAAAAAGCTGTCACACAGTTACAGGCGACGGCACATTAAAGCACCAAATCCTCCTTCTATAGAAAAAATATTCCACATTAAAGACGGTGCCCCCACCCCCACCCCCACCCGCCTCCTGCTGGTTATAGGACCTCATGTTTATGTTGATCAGAACCACTGATAATTGTTTACTGACAGTAAGGTATAAAACTGTTGACTTCCTCATATATATAAATATATATCTACTGTATATATATTTGTCCATGGGTCTCATTCATACGTACGGCTTACGATGTCAAAGGTCTTTGCGATGTCCTCAGACAGACCTTCCACAGAGATACTTTTTTTTTTCTCCTCTACCTCTGGATTCTTTCAAATTTGCCAAAAACCTCTTTTTCTGGCATGTAAATTGGCTTCGACCTTGTGAGGCTGAAAGGTTGAATTAGGTGCCAGAGTTTCTTTGGTGTTTAAAATATTTACTATTCACTTCTCATAATCAGCTTTCTTGCAGCCGACCTGAGCCCCTGCAGCATAAGACTACCGCAGCAAAAAAAAAAAAAAAAAAAGAGCCCACTATCGAGAAGGTAGAAATTATTCATGCCTGGTGTCTCTGCCTGTGGGAAAGACTGAAAGAAGCTGAAATTTATTTGTTTCATGAACAAGGAGCAACAACCAGGATGAAAGTTTTGGGGGAAGCACCAACAACCTTGACGCTTCTAATCAAAGATTTAAAACATCACCAGGAAGATTGTGCTGAATGTGTAAAACTGTAACCCTCAACACTGGTTTATACCTGAGTATTTGACTGCCGGTGGGGACGGTTGGTGGTTACCATGGCAACCTATAACCTAAAAGATTTTTTTTTCCCTCTGAAGAGTACAGAAAGGCAAAATGGGATTTGGGGGGATTAGTCTAAGCTTTCAAGCATTTCAAGTAAGTAATGGTCAAAAACATGGATATGAATATTAACCAGAGGCGCCACATTTGGCTTATAGAGGTACTGCATGAGCAAGTTAAGGGTTTTTTTTTTTCTTCTGAACAAGAAACATCCTCAAATTAGAGCCAAAAATAATAAAAACATGAGAACCAGCTGAGATATGTGATTTTAAAACTGAAAAAACTAAAAGTCTGTAAATTGTTTGGCTAATACCGTTCAGTATTTCTTTCCAGTGTTGCAGCAAAATAATTTGGCTATAAATGTAGATTCCAGCTCATTTATTCTCCCTTTAATGCCTGCAGTAAAAAACACTAAATCACATGTGTTTGTTTCAGAAAGAAAGTAATAACGCCAAATATCTTATATTGGCATTAAAATGTTTCATTTCTTACTGTCAGAAATACATAAAATCTTGCCA